TGTGTGTGTGTGTGTGTGTGTGTGTGTGTGTGTGTGTGTGTGTGTGTAAAGAGGGAGAGAATGAGGGCAAGTATTCCCCTCTTATCTATGGGGGATACATTTCAAGACTGCCAGTGGATGCCTGAAACCTCAGATAGTACTAACCCCTACGTACACTATGTCAGTTGATCTCGTAACTGAGATGGCTACTAAGTGGCTAATGGGTAGGTGGGATATACAGTGTAGACACACTAGGAAAAGGGATGAAAAGGGATGATTCACATCCTGGGCTGGATGGCACGGGTTTTCTTTCTTTTTTTTTCTGTTTTCTTTTTTCCCATTTATTTATTTTATTGCATATCAGGTTTTGGGGTACATGTGAAGAACATGCAAGATTGTTGCATAGGTACAGACGTGGCAGTGTGATTTGCTGCCTTCCTCCCCATCACCTACATCTGGCATCTCTCCCCCTGCTATCTCTCCCCAGCTCCCCACCCCCCACTCTCCCTCCCCTATTTCCCCCCAACTGACCCCAGTGTGCAGTGCTCCCCTCCCTGTGTCCATGTGTTCTCATTGTTCAACCCCTACCTATGAGTGAGAACATGCAGTATTTGATCTTCTGCTCTTCTGCCAGTTTGCTGAGAATGATGGTTTCCAGGTTCATCCATGTCACTACAAAGGACACAAACTCATCGTTTTTGATGGCTGCATAATATTCCATGGTGTATATGTGCCACATTTTCCCTATCCAGTCTACCGTCGATGGGCATTTGGGTTGGTTCCAGGTCTTTGCTATTGTAAACAGTGCTGCAATGAACATTCGTGTGCACGTGTCCTTATAGTAGAACGATTTGTAATCCTTTGGATATATACCCAGTAATGGGATTACTGGGTCAAATGGAATTTCTGTTTCTAGGTCCTTGAGGAATCGCCACACTGTCTTCCACAATGGTTGAACTAATTTACACTCCCACCAACAGTGCAAAAGTGTTCCTATTTCTCCACATCCTCTCCAGCATCTGTTGTCTCCAGATTTTTAATGGTCGCCATTCTAACTGGCGTGAGATGGTATCTCAATGTAGTTTTGATTTGCATTTCTCTGATGACCAGTGATGATGAGCATTTTTTCATATGTTTGTTGGCCTCATGTATGTCTTCTTTTGTAAAGTGTCTGTTCATATCCTTTGCCCACTTTTGAATGGGCTTGTTTGTTTTTTTCTTGTTAATCTGTTTTAGTTCTTTGTAAATTCTGGATATCAGCCCTTTGTCAGATGGGTAAACTGCAAAAATTTTTTCCCATTCTGTTGGTTGCCGATTCGCTCTAATGACTGTTTCTTTTGCTGTGCAGAAGCTGTGGAGTTTGATTAGGTCCCATTTGTCTATTTTGGCTTTTGTTGTCAATGCTTTTGGTGTTTTGGTCATGAAGTCCTTGCCTACACCTATGTTCTGAATGGTTTTGCCTAGATTTTCTTCTAGGGTTTTTATGGTGTTAGGTCTTATATTTAAGTCTTTAATCCATCTGGAGTTAATTTTAGTGTAAGGTGTCAGGAAGGGGTCCAGTTTCTGCTTTCTGCACATGGCTAGCCAGCTTTCCCAACACCATTTATTGAACAGGGAATCCTTTCCCCATTGCTTGTTTTTGTCTGGTTTGTCAAAGATCAGATGGTTGTAGATCTGTTGTGTTGCCTCCGAGGCCTCTGTTCTGTTCCATTGGTCTATATTTCTGTTTTGGTACCAGTACCATGCTATTTTGAGTACTGTAGCCTTGTAGTATAGTTTGAAGTCCGGTAGTGTGATGCCTCCCGCTTTGTTCTTTTTGCTTAGAATTGACTTGACTATGCGGGCTCTCTTTTGGTTCCATATGAAGTTTAAGGTGATTTTTTCCAGTTCTATGAAGAAGGTCATTGGTAGCTTGATGGGGATAGCGTTGAATCTGTAAATTACTTTGGGCAGTATGGCCATTTTCACGATATTGATTCTTCCTAACCATGAACATGGAATGTTTCTCCATCTGTTTGTGTCCTCTCTTATTTCGTTGAGCAGTGGCTTATAGTTTTCCTTGAAAAGGTCCTTTACATTCCTTGTTAGTTGTATTCCTAGGTATTTTATTCTCTTTGTGGCAATTGTGAATGGCAGTTCGTTCTTGATTTGGCTCTCTTTAAGTCTGTTATTGGTGTATAGGAATGCTTGTGATTTTTGCACATTGATTTTGTATCCTGAGACTTTGCTGAACTCGCTTATCAGTTTCAGGAGATTTGGGGCTGAGACGATGGGGCCTTCTAGATATACAATCACATCGTTTGCAAATAAAGACAATTTGACTTCCTCTTTTCCTATTTGAATACCCTTTATTTCTTTTTCTTCCCTGATTGCTCTAGCTAGAACTTCTAGTACTATATTGAATAGGAGTGGTGAGAGAGGGCAACCTTGTCTGGTGCCACATTTTAAGGGGAATGCTTCCAGTTTTGCCCATTCAGTATGATATTGGCTGTTGGTTTGTCATAAATAGCTTTTATTATTTTGAGGTACGTTCTGTCAATACCTAGCTTATTGAGGGTTTTTAGCATAAAGGGCTGTTGAATTTTGTCAAAGGCCTTCTCTGCATCAGTTGAAATAATCATGTGGTTTTTTTGTCTTTGGTTCTGTTTATGTGGTGAATTACGTTTATAGACTTGCGTATGTTGAACCAGCCTTGCATCTCCGGGATAAAGCCTACTTGATAATGGCGGATTAGCTTTTTGATGTGCTGTTGCAATCGGCTTGTCAGTATTTTATTGAAGATTTTTGCATCTATGTTCATCATGGATATTGGCCTGAAGTTTTCTTTTCTTGTTGAGTCTCTGCCGGGTTTTGGAATCAGGATGATGTTGGTCTCGTAAAATGATTTGGGAAGAATTCCCTTTTTGTATTGTTTGGAATAGTTTCAGAAGGAATGGTACCAGCTCCTCTTTGTATGTCTGGTAGAATTCGGCTGTGAACCCATCTGGACCTGGGCTTTTTTTGGGTGGTAAGCTCTTAATTGCTGCCTCCACTTCAGACCTTGTTATGGGTCTGTTCAGGGTTTCGGCTTCTTCCTGGTTTAGGCTTGGGAGGAGGCAAGTGTCCAGGAATTTATCCATTTCTTCCAGGTTTACTAGTTTATGTGCAGAGAGTTGTTTATAATAATCTCTGATGATGGTTTGAATTTCTATGGAATCTGTGGTGATATCCCCTTTATCATTTTTTATTGCATCAATTTGATTATTCTCTCGTTAGCTCTTCTTGTTGCATTCGTCCTTTTACCATTATGTAATGTCCCTCTTTGTCTCTTATGATCTTTGTTGCTTTAAAGTATAATTTATCAGAGATGAGAATTGAAACTCTTGCTTTTTTTTGCTCTCCATTTGCTTGGTAAATCTTCCTCCAACCCTTTATTTTAAGCCTTTGTGTATCCTTGCATGTGAGATGGGTTTCCTGGATACAGCACACTGATGGGTTTTGGCTTTTTATCCAATTTGCCAGTCTGTGTCTTTTGATTGGGGCATTTAGTCCATTCACATTTAGGGTTAATATTGTTATGTGCGAATTTGATACTGCCATTTTGGTGCTAGCTGGCTGTTTTGCCAATTAGTTGATGCACATTCTTCATTGTGTTTGATTCTCTTTACCGTTTGGCATGTTTTTGGAGTGGCTGGTACTGGTTGTTCCTTTATATGTGTAGAGCCTCTTTCAGGAGCTCTTGTAAAGCTGGCCTGGTGGTGACGAAATCTCTGAGTACTTGCATGTTCACAAAGGATTTTATTTTTCCTTCACTTATGAAGCTTAGTTTGGCTGGATAGGAGATTCTGGGTTGAAAGTTCTTTTCTTTAAGGATGTTGAATATTGGCCCCCACTCTCTTCTGGCTTGTAGGGTTGCTGCTGAGAGATCTGCTGTGAGTCTGATGGGCTTCCCTTTGTGGTTAACCCGACCTTTTTCTCTGGCTGCCCTTAGCATTTTCCCGTTCATTTCAACCCTGGTGAATCTGACGATTATGTGCCTTGGGGTTGCTCTTCTTGAGGAATATCTTTGTGGTGTTCTCTGTATTTCCTGGACTTGAATGTTTGCCTGCCTTGCTAGGTTGGGGAAGTTTTCCTGGATAATATCCTGAAAAGTATTTTCCAGCTTGGATTCATTCTCTTCAGCACATTCAGGTACGCCTATCAAACGTAGATTAGGCCTTTTCACATAGTCCCACATATTTCTTGGAGATTTTGTTCATTCCTTTTTACCCTTTTTTCTCTATTCTTGCCTTCCTGTTTTATTTCATTGAGTTGATCTTCGACCTCTGATATCCTTTCTTCTGCTTGGTTAATTCGGCTGTTGATACTTGTGCATGCTTCGCGAAGTTCTCGTGTTGCGTTTTTCAACTCCATCAATTCACTTATGTTCCTTTCTATTTTGTCCATTCTCGTTAGCATTTCGTCAAATCTTTTTTCAAGGTTCTTAGTTTCTTTGCATTGGGTTAGAACATGTTCTTTAAGTTCACAGAAGTTTCTTACTACCCACCTTCTGAAGTCTGATTCTGTCATTTCATCACACTCGTTCTCCATCCAACCTTGTTCCCTTGCTGGTGAGGAGTTGTGATCTCTTTTAGGAGGAGAGGTGCTCTGGTTTCGGGTGTTTTCATCCTTTTTGCCCTGGTTTCTTCCCTTCTTTATGGATTTATCCACCTGTCGACTTTGTAGATGCTGGCTTTCAGATTGGGTCTCTGAGTGGACATTCTGTTTGTTGATGATGAGGTTATTTCTGTTTCTTGGTTTTCCTTCTGACAGTCTGGCCCCTCTGCTGTAGGTCTGCTGAGGTTCACTCCAGGCCCTGGTTGCCTGGTGTTCACCTGCAGCAGGTGCTGAACAGTAAGGGTTGTTACCAGTTTTCTTCTTCTGCTATCTTTGTCCCAGAAGGATACCCGCCAAGTGTCAATCTGATCTCTCCTTTATGAGGTGGCTCTTTGGATATATAGGGGTCAGGGAGCTGCTTGAGGAGACGGTCTCTTCTTTATAGGAGCTCAAATGCTGAGCTGTGAGCTCCATTGTTCATTCAGAGCTGCTGGGCAGGTATGTTTAGGTCTGCTGCAGCAGAACTCATAAACCACTTTTTGTTCCCAGGTGCTCTGTCCCAGGGATTTAGGGTTTTATGAGTTTCGGTTATGCTGCTGCCTTCTCTTTTTTTTTTTTTTTTTTTTGGTCAGAGCTGCCCTGCCCATCAAGGAGGCAGCCTAGTCACTGTCTGCCTGTAGAGGCTTTGCTGAGCTGCTGTGGGCTCTGCCCAGCTGTCGAGTGAACTTCCCTGCAGTCCTGTTTGTATGGGTGTAGTTAGAACTGCCTTAGCAATGGTGACCCACCTCTGTTAAGGCGGAGCCTCTCTGCTGTGGCGGGTTGCCTTGGCAACGGTGGGCTGGGCTGCCTCAGCAATGGCAGGTTGTCTTGGCAACAGCGGGCTGCCTCAGCATTGGCTGACTATCTCCGTAGTGGCGGGCTGCCTCGGTAATGGCAGACGCCCGTCCCCCACAGAGCTGGACCATCCTGGGTTCAGCTGCACTTGATGTGAAACTCTCAATCCAGAGAGTTTCTGATTGCTGTTCTTTTGTGGGGGTGGTACCAGCCAAGCCTGATCGCCTGGCTCCCTGCCTCAGAGCCTTTTTTTTTTTTTAAGTTGGTGTTCCAGTCACCTGTTGAAGAGGCGCCACGGTGTGTGTTTTTTCCCATGTGACAACTCACTGTGCTGGCTTAAACAGCAGCACTAAGATTCGTGGGGCTTTTTTTTGCCCTGGAATCTACTGTCCTGGTTCCCTGCTCAGTCCCCTTTTTAAACAGACAAATGGGTGACTTCCCGTGGCTCCTATCGCCAGCCAAAAGGGCACCTGGACCGGTGTATTTTGTATGGAGAACCGCTGCTCCAGGGTGCCGACAAAGCAGCCGCGCAGGGCAAAGCAGCAGCGCCCGCTGGCACAGCCGCACTGGCTGAAACAGCCGCGCTGGCGACCAGCGGAACTCCTCTGCCTGGGAATTTCCTAGTCTGTGGGCAATAAAAATGCGGCATCCACTCACCCTCTGCACTTTCACTGGGAGCTGCCAGGTTTTCATCACTCTATTCAGAACAGCATGCAATTTAAAACTCTGAATTCTATTTTTTCTCTTTCTTTTATTTTTTCCTTTAAACTATTCTTTATTTCAGCAATTTCCCATTTAATATTTTTATTTTGTGATTGATGGCAGGTAACTGAAACTGGAAAGCAAAACTACAGATGAGGGGGGACTACTGTGACTACTCTGTGTGTGTGTGTGTGTGTGTGTGTGTGTGTGTGTGTGTGTATACACATAGTAGATATATACTGCTGTATACAGATGTCCCTGACTTATGATGGTTTGACTTAAAGTTTTTCAGCTTTAGGATGGTGTGAAAGTGACAGGCAGTCAGTAGAAATCATACTTTGAGCACCTATACTACCACTCTGTTTTTCACTTTCAGCATAGCATTCAATAAATTACATGAGACATTCAACACTTTATTATAAAATACATGATTTTGCCCAACTGAAGGCTAATGGAAGTGTTTTGATCATGTTTAAGGCAGTCTAGGCTAAGCTGTGATGTTCACTAGGTTAGGTGTATTAAGTGCATTTTTGACTTAAAACGTTTTTAACTTAGGATGGGCTTCTTGGGATGCAACCCCTTTGTAAGTTGAAGAGAGATAGAGATTTATTATAAGGAACTGGTCCACACAATTATAACAGTTGAGAAGTCCCAAGATCTGTAGTTGCCAAGCTGGAGACCAGGAGAGCTAATGGAATAAGTATCAGTTCAAGTCCAATTCCTAAAGTAGGTGAAGACAGAAATCTCAGCTCAAAAACAGTCAGGCAGAGAGAGAGCAAATTCTTCCTTACTCCACCTTTTTGTTCTATTCAGGATTTAATTGGATTGGATGATGCCCACCTATACTGGAGAGGGCCATCCACTGTACCCAGCCTACCAACACACAAGGTTATTTTGCATTTTAAAATAAAAAGAGATCTAAATGCATAATGTTACTCTTAATTTTATTAAATTTAGTGAAGGGCCGCTAAGTCAAGAGGTCTCTAAAAAGACATCAATACCACATTTTCCCTTGGGCTGGCTGGCTGATGCCCCTCTTCTCTCCCACCATTTCTCCCCTGAATTGTAACATAATGGCCTCTTCACATGTGTGTCTCCACCCTCAGACTGTGGGTTTCTGAAGCTGGGAACCTGGTCTATATTCTTTACCCTCTCCTGCCAGCCCTCCATTAACTTTTTGTAACAATTGGATTTGATGTTTGACCTATGATACTGGTCTTTTGTGTTGACTTCCCCACCTCCAACCAAATCTCTGGCAGAACAGGTTTATGGCATTGTATAAGCTTGCTTTGACAAATTAATGTAAAATGTTGAGAGAAATTATTGACATTTTTATGATAGAGAAAGCATTAGGATGAAATGAGACTATAAAATAAAATTGTGGCAAATGACTAATAAAGAAACGGCTCAAGTTAAGAAACAATCTTTCTAGAATTTGCCTGATTCTGGTGAATTGTGGCAGCAGCTGATTTACAACAGGCTGCTTCTGACCAAATCTAGCTCAGCTTGTGATAAAGAAATATAACTGCACATTACGTACAAAGCAGAGTTCATTTATCTTGCAAAAAATGTCACTGAGACATTCAGAAAAATGTTTAAAAGTCTTTCATTGAAAAAAAAGTCTTTCATGGAGGGTTTTTTTCCCTCCTGTTAAGTTTAATCACACCAAATATACAATAGGCAAAATGCAGTTATTTCCTCAATAATTAAATTTACTAAAATTCATGAGCTCATCACATTATTATGAAAATAGCAGTTACCCAGTTTGTAAATTAGAAATACTTGCCATTCTTTGGAACTTCAGAAGGTGGCTTTTATTAGTTCATATGTTTAAATATATACTGGCTATCATTTGTGCTAAACTGTTTTAGATTGGTTAAGTTTGCAACAAATCATTTGTTAGAAAAAAAAAGAAAACTGAAATAAAATGTGACTTTAACTGAAGTCCACCTTTGTACCTGGTGCAGAATGTTTTTAGTCAAATGCCAGCTATATTCCTATAAATAAGAGCTAGTTACCAACTCCAAAGTGTTAGATAACCTTGAACTTTTGGAGACAAAAGTATGTTTATTTTAATCCATTTCAGCTTGGATATAAATTATTTCAGGACATAATGGCTCAAAAACTCAATATTCCCAAAGACTGATTATATTTGACTCTAAAAACCTAAGGATAATACAACACAAACATGTGAGGCGTACAATGTCTTTGAAATACATTATCTGCAGGGTGGATAAAGAGAAAAGAAATAGGATTTATTTTTTAAATGGAGTTTTTAAAATGTAAATCTAGTTTTTCAATGTTTGGTTCAATCATTCCCTTATCTTTCTCTCAAATCCCATATGAAGTTAGTTTTCACAAACTTAGATTTGGAAGCTCTTGGGTTTAATTCTCGGCTTGGCGCCAGACATCCCTTTGTGCTGCTCTAAGCTCATGCAGCTTCTCAAAGCAGCACTTCCTCTGCTTGAAGAGCTGATTGTTGGAAGCGTCTTCCTTATATTGTTAGAGCCTTAAACCATGTCCCTGTTGTATCCTTCAATCACTAGTCTTTGTTCTGCCGTGTTTCTGCAATATAGAAAATCCCCCTACTACCCGTAGCAATGACCCAATCCTGTAACTGTGGCTCATATACAGTTTCCAGGCCTCTCCCCTTTCCAGACGCCATATCCTGGGCTGACCCAAATTTGTCAATACCAGTCTTAAAATGTAAATTTCCAATTCATTTCTACAATATTTACTGAGTACTGTGTGCCAGGTAAGTGCTAGGAATGAGGCATTATAGATAATTTATAAACATATAAAACAGTATCCCTGTCCTCCAAGAGTTTCCAGTGGGAAAAAGAACTTTTCCAAACCCTCTCTCCATGCTTCTCTTTCAGCTCCATCATGGTCTCCCTCTAAGGGATAAGTTGCTCCTATTGTGGTCAGATCTCAAGATAGTCAACGGCCATATTTCACTAGAGGACTGAGTGGCTGGGCCTTAAAAGATCACCACCATTTGTGGTGCCTTCTCCCACCTCCTTGTTTAACACCAAGGCGAGACTTGGAAGCTAATGGCAGGTCAGCCATCTGCTGTTTCTATGTCAAGTGCCTACTCTGGTAGTGGGTTCTCCATTTCCATCTGTCTCTCTCTGCCTCTCTCCCCATTGGAGGTAAGGTTGGGGAGAGTAAGAGTCCCACTTTGACTTTGAACCGAAGCTACCTGTTTCAACTTAACTTTCCTAGTGGATTCTACTTTGTGGATCAAGGGCATTGGTTCAAATTTCATAATGGTATTTTAGTCCCATCCAGTTATTGTTCTTTATAAACAGATTCCTCAATCTGAACCCCCAAGAAGAGAAGGTAGAGAAGCAGTCATTCCTGGGACCCAAAGCCTAATTTCACTAAATGAGCGCCGAAATTCCAGCACACAGACATGATTTTACAATGTCCATAAGAGAAGACAGTCATGGAACTTCAGG